ATTTTTTTCCCGACGAAGGTAAATTAAGTTTGGAGGACCAAACTTCCTAAAGGGGGGAAGATTGTAATATCCTTGTTCTGTAGTATGCTAATTGGTCCTTAACATGAATATGATTATGTGTTTGACATGATTTTGTGTGCCATTATGTGAAAATATGTGGTTTTGAATTTCTATCTATTCACCGTAGGAATATCTGATTGATTATCTGCTTTGGAAATTAAATTGAAAGCCTTATCGACCACAGAACCCGAAATTGACTGCGCCATTGTGATTGGCATAATTTTTAGAGCCTACGGTGAAATTTAATTGGAAACTATTTCGGAACGAATTAAATAGATTAAATTGGTGTTATAGTGCTCAATTGTTTAATCTTATTTAATTGTGACTAATGGGACTTATAAAGAGGGACACTACACACTCAATTCCTCTCTTTGTTCATTTGAGCCAAAAATTACTCTAAGAAAAGAAGAGAGGGTCAGTTGGAGAGAGAGAGAGTGTAGGAGATTGAAGGTTTGGTCAAAGAAACTTGGGAATCTTAAAGCTACACCCAAGAATTAAGCATAAGCTTGGAAGATAAAATTCCTAGGTGAGTAAATTCATGAGTTTAAACTGGTGATTTTGTGAATTAAAGATTAATTGGTGATCAAGAACAAGAGTTGTACTATAATTAATGAATTTGAAGTTAATGTGCACATGCATGTATAGGATCACCATGATTTTTGCATAATCAAGCATGTATTAAGTTCAATATGGAAATATGAGTGTTGAATCATACATGCAAGCATGTTTTTATTGCGTTCCATGAGAATGAACACCATATGCATTATTTGGAATAGAAATGAAGTCAAGATTAGCATGCATGTTTGAATAAATAAAGATATGGAGCTTGTATGAGGTTTGAAGACATGAGTTTGAATTATACAAAAGGAACGTTAATTAATTTTGAAGATTGGCTTCATGTTGTTTGTGTACTCATGCTATATGTTGTATTTCTCCATTTTGGTACCTTAATTCGAGCTTTGGAGCCTTTGAATGTCAATTTGAGCTCAAGAACATGTTCTGAAAAACTCAGAAATTTTGATGTCCGCTCGAGCGGGGGAACCGCCGCTCGAGCGGGAAATACGTGCTTCCAGAACTTTTTGTAGACATAGTGTCCGCTCGAGCGGGGAGCTATGTAGACAGACCTTCAGCTCGAGCACCAGACTTCACGCTCGAGCGTAAATTCGATGCATCCAGTACTTTGCAGACCTCATGGGTCAGGTTAAGCAAGAAGTCCACGCTCGAGCGGGGACTCTATTTTCTAAAATTTTGAAATTGCATTCTGTGTTCCGTTTTCCATTCCCTTTCACTTCTAAGTACTCTTAGGCATACATTGAACATTGTAAATGAGTTAGAAGAATAAAAATTAAGACTAAAGAGGAATATGTGAATTAAGAACGGATTGAATCGGTTGTGACCCATATGTGTTATGTGATGTGTAGGGTCAAGCTCCAAGGCAAATCAATCAGCTGATCACTGTGAGTAATATCTTAACAAAGATATCTGAAATATGTTATTGTCCAATTGCTTACGTCCATGTAAGTTTTATAAAATTCGTTGATTTGATTGATGGACAATGTTTGCTATACCAAATGAATGGGCCAGAGGCCGTTTTGACAAGAATGAATGAATAGGCCAGAGGCCGTTTTGACAAGAACGAATGGATGGGCCAGAGGCCGTTTTGATAAGAATGAATGAATGGGCCAGAGGCCGCTTTGGCAAGAATAAATGAATGGGCCAGAGGCCGTTTTGACAAGAACGAATGGATAGGCCAGAGGCCGTTTTGATAAGAATGAATGAATGGGCCAGAGGTTGTTTTGGCAAAAATGAATGAATGGGCCAGAGGCCGTTTTGACAAGAACGAATGGATGGGCCAGAGGCCGCTTTGACAAGAATGAATGGATAGGCCAGAGGCCATTTTAACAAGAATGAATGGATGGCCCAGAGGCCGTTTGACATGAATGAATGGGCCAGATGCTGTTTTGACATGAATGAATGGGCTAAAGGCCGTTTCAACATGAATAAATGAATGGGCCAAAGGCCAGTTTGACACGAATGATAGTTTGATACAAATGACAGTTTGATATGAATAACAGTTTGACATGAAAGTATGAATGGGCCAAAGACCAGTTTGACCTGAATGATACTAATGAATTGGGCCCGAGGCCATATGATGTGTTTGGAACCGCAGTTACTTAACTTACATATGTCTATGTATGTATGTATTAGTTAGAAGAATAAATTGGGCCCAAGGCCGTTTGATGTATATTGTTCCAATGTATATCCTTTATTTGATATTATTCACTGGGCTTTCGCTCATACTCATTCATGTGTTTGTAGGTGAGCCAAGAGAGGTCCAGACCCAGCCTCAATAAAGTCTGTGTGGAACAACTAAGGTTTTGAAGAGTCAGCCCTTGCGTCTCACGCACGAGACACGTCTTCGCCCTTTTGTCATTCTATACTATTTTGTCATGTTGGCGAGAACTTTGGGTTACATTCATGTATAGTTTTGTTTGGTTGACTTAGATTTGAATGATCCTGTCTGTACAGAACTTTATGTTACTATACTTTCTGCTGTGAGTTATTAACATATGTAAATGTGGAATGTTATGATGTGTATATAAGCACGGCTCTATGGACAAGGTTTTAAATTTGTTTCCGTTCTGCCCTTTTACTCTGATGAGTTTTGTCTTATTTGGTTTAAAACCGTAGGTAATCTATTGATTACTGACCGATTATGGTCTTAACCCATAGGGGTGGATTCGAGTCGTGACAACTTGAATGTGATTGATTTATATAATGAAATTAACATTTTTGTGTTAGTGTTTGAGGAGAAAATATAAAAATGACAATTGATAATTAGTGTAGAATAATACATGTGATTCTCTATAGGCACTCCATATATTTTTTCAAATTGTTCGTTGGGGGGCCAATCCAATGAGACTTGTATATTGCTTTACAAGTAACCGCTACATATGAAAAATTCTTCACTGGGCAAAGGGGCATGGCACCTGATAGTCTAAAAGTAAGTCCGTCCATCATTATAAGCAATTGTACAACTTATTTGAAGTAAACATATTTAACATTACATGTATAAAGGTAACATGTTTAAATATTAACACTCACAAAGATAACATATTAATCCATTTGCCACACTCAATAAGATCTAATGCTACTCATTAATATTTAAACATCTAACAAAATTTCAAAAATAAACAAATTTTCATTGAATACCAAAATATAATCTAATGGTTGTAATAAAATATTTAATATTTTATGATTACCATATCCATATTGCATTTAGATTACTTATTGGTTAGTAGAGGGTTCATATGTACATGTCGACATAGATTTTTACACAAATCAAACGGGCTGTGTGTGGATTAGGTGTATTTAACACTAACACAACCTATTTAATATTCGTGTTGTTGACTCATATTCATGTAAAAAAATAATTAACCATAATCATATAATTACATGTACGATTCGAGTTGTATTAATGAGTCATGTGTTAGGTTTCCATCCTTACATAGCAATAAAAGTAGGAATGGCCATTGTGTTGTGTTGTGCCATATCATCTCGAATTGACAAGTTGAAGACATGAACATGAACAAAACATGTTTAATAAACAAGTCATATATGCAAATACTAATTCGACCTGTCAATAATCGTGTAAACCTATAGACAGCATGATTAATTCATGTACTTATTTAACATACATGATAAGACACGAGTCAACCTGACAAGAAAAACTTATTTAACCTGTTACTTTTTATATTATTAAATTAATAGTTGAGAATAGTTTAAACATTGAAGGACTAAGATTAATTTTGATCAAATTATTAGATTGCGGGACATTAAGAGGTCAATATCATATTGTAACACTATTTTAAATGGTATCATGTAGTATGGGAATTCCCACCTAAGTAAAATCACATCTCCCTCTCTCTCTCTCTCTCTCTCTCTCTCACTCCCCAGAGACACTTGAATTGTCCACAACTATGCTTCACAGTTTATGGACGCTATCAAAACACAGAAAAGCGAGCTCATGTTGTGTTCTGGCATGTAGCATACTTGGGTTCTGTACAGATAACCTTGTCAGAGTCAGATTGTTTACAGACATTAATAAGGATGACACTTTACATGCCTTTATTCAGATCATGCACAACCTCAAGAGCACTCTCTCAAATCCATGCCCATCTATTTGTCACTGGACTCCAAACAGACCCACTTGCTTCTACAAAACTCATTGAATCATATTCCAACATGGGCTCCCTTGAATCTGCTTTCCTTGTCTTCGACAACTTCCCAAATCCCGATTCTTTCATGTGTGGTGTACTCACCAAGTGCTGTGTGTGGAATGGCTTCTTTGGAGAAGCCATTTCACTCTACAATAACATGCTGTACAACAATCAAACCCGTATTACTAGTTTTGTGTTCCCATCTGTATTGAGAGCTTGTTCAGCTTTTGGTGATCTGGTTATGGGCCAAAAGGTCCATGGGAGGATAATTAAATGTGGGTTTGAGTCTGATTCTGTTGTTCAGACCTCATTGCTTCATATGTATGGTGAAACAGCTGGCTTAGATGATGCTCGCAGGGTGTTTGATGGAATGTCTGTGAGAGATGTTGTTTCGTGGAGTTCAATTGTTCTGAGTTATGTGCACAATGGGCAGGGAAGTGAAGGGTTGAAAATATTTTGTGACATGATCGTGGAAGGTGTAGAACCCGACTCGGTAACCATGCTTGGTGTGGCTGAGGCTTGTGGTGAATTGGGTTTTCTCAGACTGGCAAAATCGGTCCATGGCTATGTAGTGAGAAAGGAGATTGAAAGTAATGGCTCATTGGTTAATTCTCTCATTGCAATGTATGGTAAATGTGGTGACTTTTATAGCGCGGAGGAACTCTTTGACAACATTATTCACTGGAGTACTTCTTCGTGGACGGCGATGATTACATGCTACAATCAAAATGGGCTCTATCAAGAAGCTTTACACACTTTTATTGATATGCAAGAGTCCAATGTGGAACCCAATGCAGTAACCCTGATGGGTATTTTATGTTGTTGTGCTAGGCTAGGCTGGCTCAGAGAAGGAAAGTCGGTTCATTGTTATGTTGTTAGAAAAGCCATAGACACTGGCTATGATCTTTTGGGATCGGCATTGATAGATTTGTATGCTAATTGTGCGAATCTAAAATATTGCCAGAAGCTTTTCGATACAACTCAAGAGAGACATATAGTGTCATGGAATATGCTAATATCAGGTTATGCTCGGGAGGGGCTATCAAAGGAGGCTTTGACTCTGTTTGAGCGAATGCAAGGTCTAGGAACATTGCCAGACTCATTTACTCTGGCAAGTGTTCTCTCAGCATGTGGAAATATCAGCTGTTCCCAATTCGGACGTCAGATCCATGGTCAAGTTATTAAAACAGGCGTCTTGAATGAGTTTCTCCAGAATTCAATGATTGACATGTACTCCAAATGCGGGTTTTTGGACTCAGCATACATGATATTTGACGAGGACCAAACAAGAAGTGTAGTAACTTGGAATTCCATGATCTGTGGATTTTCTCAAAATGGTAATTCATTAGAAGCAATTAGTCTATTTGACAGAATGTATTCAAATTGTCTGGAAATGGATGAAGTGACTTTCTTGATTGTAATCCAAGCCTGCTCAAATTTAGGATACTTAGACAAGGGAAAATGGGTTCATCATAAGCTCATTACCTATGGTGTAACTAAGGATACATATATTGATACAGCTTTGACTGACATGTATGCTAAATGTGGAGACCTTCATGTGGCCCAGACAGTTTTCGATAGCATGGTAGAGAGGAGCGTGGTGTCATGGAGCACCATTATAGCCAGTTATGGGATGCACGGACAGATTGATACTGCTATCTCACTTTTCAATCAAATGGTGGGGTCAGGAATAAAACCAAATGAAGTTACTTTCATGAATATTCTGTCTGCTTGTAGTCACACAGGATATGTAGACGAAGGGAAGTCATATTTTAGTTCAACGATGAAGGACTTTGGCATTGATCCAATGCCTGAACATTTCTCTTGTATGGTTGACCTTCTGAGCCGAGCTGGTGATCTCGATGGAGCATATAGAATCATCAACAATATGCCATTCCCAGCAGATGCAAGCATCTGGGGCACTCTGTTGAATGGGTGTCGAATCCATAGGAGGATGGACATGATTAGAAGTATTCAAAGACGCATTTTTGATATAGAGACAGATGATACAGGGTATTATACTCTATTATCTAATATTTTTGCAGAAGAAGGTGACTGGGATGGGTTTAGGACGGTAAGAACAATGATGAGAAATATAGGTCTGAGAAAGGTCCATGGGTACAGTACAATTGAGATTGATAAGAGAGTTCACAGATTTGGAGCAAATGATAAATCTCATTCCTGTGCAAATGAAATTTACAGCTGCTTGGAAAATTTACGAAGTTTTTCATAGGAAAAATGTCATGGTATCAAGGGATGTTTCAATTTGTTCTACTAGCTGCTTCACCAAGGAATAAGTGTTGCAGTTCATAGCAAGATGCTGGGAATTGTATGTGGAAATTCAAAAGCAATCCTGAAATCTAACCATGCACATCTACAGTCTTTTAAATTGATAGGGATTGCAATTCTAGTGGAGTAGGTTTAAGTGGGTGAATTAGGTGATAGGTTTTAACAGGGATTGCCTTCAAAAAGGCTTTGTGAAAGAATCACTTGTTGCTTGAGAGAGTGCTAAAACTCTGATAAGACCTGGCTACTGTGTTCACTTGGGTTGTGTGTTGACTATGTGATGGTGAACTTTGTGCATTGTGCTATGCAGATTAATCCTAATCAGACGAAGAAAATTTGGTTCAAAAGGATGGTGTTTCTTGGTGTGGTAGGTAGAGATGCCCTTTCAAGGTGGCTCATTTTGGGGATGATTACTCGGATGAATATCATCTAGTCTAAGACGCTACCGCTGTAGACAATAACCACATCTAAAATGGCTTGTTTGAAGGTTCCTAAGGGAGGAATTAATGAAGTTTATGTGAATGGGGTCCTTTCTGTAGGTACTAAGTACTAATTTTGTCAGAGATTGAGGCTCTGATGAGGGAAAGGCAAAGTTTTAGCCTCCATGGCAGAGAGGGTCAAGAAGCTACTATAGTCAAGCACATGTAAGGAATTGCCACACTTAAATAGCATAGTTTTCTTGTGGGTTACCGAATTGATGTACATATATATATATATATAAGTCAGTCTAAACATCTATCAAAATATATGTATATATCTATGTGTGTGTGTGTGTGTGTGTGTGTGTGTGCCCAATTGGAAGTTTAGAATCCTTGTCAGTGGCATTGGTTGTCAAGTACCCCTCCATCAATTTGCTCAGTATTTGCCATAATTTGAATGTATTCACAGGGCCCTTTAGTAAATCAAGGTATCTGTGGCATCGTGCACAGAAAGGGCAATGGGTTTGCCCAAGTTCTATCTAGGTTGGAAGTGGATTTGCCCCTTTGAATAGGAGTGGTTACATTCCTCCTAATAGATGTGCACTCTGATTCTTAATGAAACCTAGCACGGGCATTTGAAAAATGAAAGGAAACCGAAGGCAAACTGATTTGAATAAAATTTGTCATTTCATTATCGGCAGTTGTTCTTGTAGAATTATCTGTAATAGATCAGCTAGCCACATAAACTGAGGAGACTAAAAATCCTGTAAGGCTAGTCTTTGTACAGTCCATGTTGCTAACTTGGTTACATTACAACTCCGCAATTTTAAAAACACACACACAGAGAGAGAGAGAGAGAGCTTCATTGAGAAGCTATGAGAAGTTAACTTCATTGAAAGCTTTCTGTTGAATCTATAGATATTGGGTAATCTTATGTCTCATGGGATTCACTTGCATTATTACACTGTCATGCATTGATAATAATCTCTCTGGAATCTCAATATATTAAACAATTCTTAATATGAAAGCATCTGTATATATTGAATTTTGGAATTCTGTCACAAACTCTACAACTGACATTTAGTCATCTGCAGTACCACCATTACAGTTACAAAACTATAAAAAGGAGAGCTCTCTAGTAGAACAAAATCACACTGGAGACGCACATAAACTAAGCTCTTTCTTCTTGGGGGTCATTGTTTTCAGTCCAGAAGCCATGTGTGAATGAAGACACTGGCACTAAAAGCTTTAATCCAGCTTTATAAGCCATGTCTGCACTTTAATCATGGTCATTGGTTGAAGATGCAGAGAACTTCAACGATGTATCAAGGAAGATCAAATATTTGAGATGGCAGCAAAGAATCTACAAAACATGTAATGGTTAATGAAGAGATGCCACCCTTAGAGGAGAAAAATCATTACCAGTATCCATCTCTACTTGGCTACAACCGGGGGACTTGCTCAATCCTCTCTTCTTCATCAACTCCCGCACCTTATTAGCCTGATCCCATCTTCCACCTGAAGTATACATGTTCGAAACAAGCACATAGTAACAAGCTTCATCAGGATGCAAATCTAGCATTCTCTTCGCTGCCACTTCCCCAAGGTCAAACCTTGAATGGAGATTGCATCCATGGAGGAAAGCTCCGAATAAAGTAACATCTGGTTCCATCACAACCATATTCTCAATAAAATTCCAAGCTTCCTCAAGCCTGCCAGCACGAGCCAATAAATCAACCATGCATACATAATGCTTCCTTGAAGGAACAAAATTATATTGCTCGCACATTGAGTTGAAATACTTCAATCCTTCTCCAACCATCCCTGTGTGACTACAAGCTGATATAATAGTCATGAATATTACATCATTGGGCTCCAAACTTTCCTTGAGCATTTCATCAAAAAGTGCAACAGAACCACTACAATCCCCCTGCATTCCATAACCGCCAATCATTGCAGCCCACGTTTTTCTGTTCTTCTCTCTCATCCCATCAAAAACTATACGAGCAGCTTCTGCATCACCACATTTTGCATACAAATTTACAAGTGCAGTGCCAACATAGACATTGGATGATAATAGTCCTTGTTTTACAGAGTAAGCATGAAGAGAAGAACCAATTGCGAGAGAACCAAGGGAACAACAAGCTGAGAGGACAGCTAACATTGTGACTGCATCTGGCAACAAACATTCCGTTCTCATTTGATGAAAGAATTTCAATGCTTCATAAGCAGAACCATTTTGGGAATACCCAGAGATAATTGAGTTCCAAGCAATCAAATTCTTATCCGAAACTGTCTCAAATAAATTACGAGCATCGACAATCATATGGCACTTTGCATACATATGTATAAGCGCATTTGTAATGGTATGGTCTTCTAAGCCAAGCTTAAATCCAAGGCTATGAATTGACCTACCCAATTTCAAATTGACTGACTGCGCACAAGCTGAGAGTACACTAGCAGTAGTAACAGCATTAGGTAAAATACTTGCCCATCTCTTGTCTGTAAACAACCTCAATGCTTCATCAGCATAGCCACTCTGAGCGTAGCCAACAATCATTGCTGTCCATGAGACAAGATCAATTGTATGAAGCTCATCAAATATGGAGCGCGCATCACTAATGTTCCCACACTTGATATACATGTCTGCAAGATTGGTAACCAAGAAAGAATTCAAATCAATGCCCTTCCTGATCACGTACCCATGAATCCACTTTCCCTGATGCAATGCACCTACCTTTGTACACGCTGCGACTATACTCCCAAAAGTATATTGGTTGCCTTCAACCAACCCATCTCTCATCTGATTAAACAAAACCAGCCCTTCCACCGCGCAATCATTCTGAACATATCCAACAATCATTGAAGTCCAACAAACTACATTTTTATCAACAATTTCATCAAACACGTCACGAGAACATTCGAGCTCTCCACACTTGGCATACATGTCAACAAGACCGGTCAAAACAAAACTATCTGGACTCCCCATCTTAACAATCTGACAGTGCACCTTCCTCCCTTCATCAATCGCACGCAATTCACTACACGCCTTCAATACAATCGAGAAAACAATGTTATCGTGTTCTGTGAGGCATTTCCTCAAACGGGTATAAAACAGAATAAGCTCCAAGTACAAATCATTCAAGAAATACCATCTGATCATGACTTTGTAAGAATAAACATCTGGGTGTGGTATTCTATCGAATACAGAGCGGGCAGTTTCAATCTTCCCGAAGAAACCATACAAGCTAACCAATTTGGTTTGGAAGAGAAGGTCGGTGGTTAGGCCGTGGACGAGGAGCAAAGCATGGATATTCTTGAGAGAAGAGAGGTTTCTGCAGAGACCCAGAAGAGAGAAGAAGGGGTTTGAAGAGATGGAGCGAATTGAAGCTACGGTTTGATCAAATTCGGGCGGTTGAAGAAGACATTGTTGTGGATGGGTTGGTGAAGAAGCTAATGTTCTACTTGTAGATTGGAGGTGAGGTCTGAGAGTGATGGTGGTGATGCGAGAGATGTGAGAGTTCAGTTTTCTCATCTTATTTTTGGTTCATATGGTTTTGTTGGTTAATAATACCAACAACACACTCAGTCCCGCCATTGTCGTTGCGTGAAGCCTTGCTTTGCTGCTGGTGGTAAACGCTTTAAACCAAATTTCCCCCTTAATACTTTGGGAAAAAAATTCAAAAATGGGTATGTTTGGTTTGTGTTTGTGTTTGTGTTTGTGTTTGTGTTTGTGTTTGAGAGATGTGTTTTAGAGATAAAAAGTACGAAAAGTTGTTTGGTTTGGTTTTTTTCAAAATATGTTTTGGAAAATTATTTTGAGAGAGAGTTTTAGAAAAAGTTATTGATTTGATGTGTGTGAGAGAGAGATTTGTTTGGAAAACTTGTTTGGTTTACAAGTTTTGAGAAAAAATTTTGGGAAAATTTGTTTGGTTTGATTACTTTTAAAAACTTATTTGTAGAGAAAATTTTTTAAAATTTTTTCAGAAATACAAACCAAACGAACCCATTAATTCTTAAATTTATAAACTTTTTCATTAATTTGTATAATTTCCCCTAACACATTTCCCATGAAAATCTGAATTTCGATTTCAATAATACTACCTAACTCAGACTTTATTGAGCAAAAATTATTTAAAATTATCATTTTATTATTTAGATTTATTTTACACATGAATCTCACACTGTACAAATTTTATTTCAACCACACTCTTACTCAGATAAATCTGAAGTAGATAAGTGGGATTTATCAAATTATTGTTTTAATTTTAATCCCCACCACCCCCCCAAAAAAAAAAAAAGGAAGAGGTGGACAAGTGTGTTGATCCTGACTAAAATTAAGAGTAAATTATACTGTAATATTAGAAAGAAAAGAAAAAAATAGTGATAAAGTCCCATGTCTTTTATGTTAACTGATAGTCCTATGAAATGTTTGAAAGATTAAGTCCCTTTTTTCTAAAAAAAATTTAAACCCTTTTGCCCTTACAAGGGCTGGCCAAGTACTCACTCACTCCATCAAAATTGAATGGTCCAAACTACATTGTCACAAAATGAATAGTTTCAATGGTCTAAGTGAACGGATACAGATATATTTTTTTCAATCCGCTTAAGTTTAGACGGATAGCGGATGGGGATTATCCAAGCCAATCCAATCTACCAACACTCTTAAGAAATTGAAATTATACTTTTATGCTATGTGTAAAAAAAATAAAAATAAACCTTTTATTTAATCATTATATTTATTATTTATGAAATATGAAAGTTGGGCCGTTATTTTTATTATAAAAATTGAACAATGAAAATATTTTTGTGCAAAATAGTAAAGAATTATACATTGTGGCCATCAATCAGCCGAAGCCAGTAGTCATACTATCAGACTTTTTCAGCATTAATGCTATCGGGAAAGGCCAGTTAGGGCAACACCAGAATGATCAGCCTGAATAAGGCCTAAATGACTTGGCTGACTTAGAAGAGGATTTGGCTGAACTAGAGGGGGATCTGTACTTCGAAGAAGAAGAAGATACAAACAGTGTTTAGGTGGGATAGTAGGATCCGAGCCAGCTGGAAACAAGCAATGGATGATTAAGTAAAGAAAAGTCAGATGTAGAGGAACCGATGGGAGAGACTAGGGAGGAAGCGGAAATTGCTGCTAGTGGCAAGGCTGAAGATGCGTCTCTGACTGAGAAGGAATTGACATTGGAACAATTTCAAAGGGAAAGGATAGAAGAGATCTAGATGAAGATAGCTCTGGAGCAGGGAAAAGGAAAAGAGAAAAAAGAACCCAAGACAACGGTGGGCGATGTCCAAGCTACCAGAAAGGTCGAGTAGGTGCCCAACGACTGAAAAATGATGTTACGGAGACTCCAAAAACATTAGGATTCAGAACCCAAGACTGTGGTAAAGGAAGAATGGTATGGTGATGGGACGCGTGATGTTAACATGCTCCAGATAGAACCTGATGCTAGCCTGGCCATGGCTACAGAAGAGTGATGGGAAGACAGCGACCTAAGTCATGCATACACTGACGAATGTTAGAAAGCTAATACCCCGAACGACACTTGGTATACTAACGAGATCATCACATGACCCAGAGTGGTCGATACTTCAAACCCGCAGCATTAGACTAGCCAGAGACCTCTAACAAGGAAGCTGAAAGAGCAAAAGAGAAAGATGTTGAAGAAAACCTGGTCTTGAAACAACTCAAAAAGATTCAGGCTGACATATCAATCTGGGGGTTGATAATGGCATCTTGGAAGCATAGACAAGCACTGTTAGAGGCAATGAACCGGACCAAACTACCTATCGACACCACTGCTAACCAATTGGTATCGTTGGTTACATCTGGGGATGTTACACCGGTGATATCTTTTACAAATAATGAGTTACCACCTGAGGGTGCTAACCACAACCAACCCTTATATATAACCCTAGAAAGTCGAAAAAAATGGATTCCGGTGGTGTTAGTAGATACCGAATTAACAATCAATGTATGCCCAGTGAGGACTGCCTTTGTCATCAGTTTGAGGCTGGTTGACTTTACACCTACGAAACAGGCCATCCGAGCTTATGACAATACGAGCCGGGATGTTATGGGAACGTTCAAGAGCCATATCCTAATTGGCCTGTCTGAACACGAGGTGGAATTCCTTGTAATGGATGTACCGGCCACGTTCAACTTACTACTGGGAAGGCCCTAGCTACATCAGATGAGGACTGTATCATCAACAGTCCATCAGTTAGTAAAGTACCCTTTTAAAGGCGGGATTGCCACTATGTACGGTAATTCTGTGATCCATCCTCTCTAGGAGACCACTACGCCATTATTGGAAATCATACACGGGAAGGAGGACGTGTTCCTTTCTGGTAGAAGCCCGGTTGGTCCAAACCATCATGACAAAAGGCGATGAGAACTACGTAAGTGCGCAATCTATTTATTTATATGATGAACAAACAGGGGCATATGCCCAGATCAGGACTAGGCCAAAGTGGCAAGCAGGAAGGTACTGTTGCTAAGGAGATCAGTCACAACCCCCACGCTTTCGGGTTGGGATACAAACCTACCGCTGCAGATTGGCAAAGAAAATGGCAAGAGTTGAGAGAAAGGCTGAAAGCAAAGAGGACTGGGAGGCAGAACGAGGTAGTCTATAAACCAATACAAGGGACCTTGAACGGACGTTTTGTCTGCCAAGGGGAAGACTTCCTCTTTTGTGGATTCCTAGAGCCCTAGTTTGACGAGGAAACAAAAACAAGATATCCGGGGTTCAAGATCTTCTTCGAACACCAATTACCAGAAGAGGAGGATGAACAAGCAAATCTGAGCCCTAGCATGGATCACGGCAAGTCTGCAACATTGAAGAGGAAGCGCTATTGGGAAAGCACTAGATAACCTACTGATAAGTTCTACTGCTGGAACTGAGACCACCAACTTGGGGGATAGTTTTACTATCTCAATAATCAAGGATAACCCAGCAGCGGATTTCTCCAATCTTATCATGGACACATCTGAGGCTTCTCACCTGGTCTGGAAGTTTGAGCAAGATGTTATCAACAGTTCTGGATCGGATAGTGAGTCCGAATCTGGTTCCACTGAGTCTGTGGAGTCGGAGTCAGATTCGAGTTCCTCTGAGTCTGGTACTTTTGGGAGTGGTAACCCAGATACCCAAGTCCTGTCCAAGTCATCTTTTAGCTTTTCTTTCGAGTCTACTGTAACTGAAGATCCAGACTTTTTGAATGGGAATGCTGTGGACTTTGCCTACTTCTCTGTGCCTTTGGTTTGTTGTACTGATCTTAATTTTCAAAATTTTGACATAAACGAAGAGGAAGAAATTCCTCAGGTTTTGAAAATTTTGATTAATCATAAGGAGGAGAGGCGTGTTAAGCCCTATATAGATGAAATCGTATCAATTAACGTGGGTATTGAGGAAGATCCTCACTTGGTCCAGATCGGATCCACGTTGTCTTCGGAGAAACGCGAATGTTTAATCGTTTTATTAAAAAATTTCAAAGATTTTTTTGCATGGTCCTACAAAGACATGCCTGGAATTGACCCTGAGATTTTATAGCACCGGAACCCTCTTGACCCTGAGGCCCGGCCAGTTAAGCAAAAGATGCGCAGAGTTCGCCTAGATTAGGCTTTAAAGATCAAGGAAGAAGTTACCAAACAGATTGAGGTAGGATTCTTGCTTGTATCTGAGTATCCAACGTGGTTGGCCAATATTGTTCCAGTCTCAAAGAAGGATGGCAAAATCAGAGTCTATGTTAGAGATGGCAATCGGAACCCGGCCCGACGGGAACCCGATCCCCCGACCCCGAATTGAGTGGTTATTCCCCGAAAAATACCCCCGACGGATCGGGGGTGGTATTAAAAATTAAATCCCCGATGATATTCGGGTCGGGGACGGGGATGGGGATTTAATTAGCATGTGTATAGGGTTTGCCAAAAATTATTCGGGTCGGGGACGATGATATTCGGGTCGGGAACGGGGATTTTATTCTAGGCACAAAAATTATCTATGTCCTGTGATATATATATATATATATATTACATTAGCAATTGGTTTTAATTTCTAATAAAATATTAACCATGTCTGTAATGAAGTCAATGCTGACAATATATCAATTCATATAAAAAAATTTATTTATGTCTTGGCCCCCCACAAATGAATTCTTGGTTTCGTCTCTGATCTAGATCAATGGTGGCAGGACCAACTCTGTGGCTAATCATATCAGGACCGAAAGTCCACATGTTGTTATTAACATGAAGCATGCAGACATCCCTTAAGAGACAATTAAGATCTCGTTTAGCAAGTGACTGTTTTAGTTTAAAAACCAAAAAGTTACTGAAAAAATCAAAAAGTTAACAATTTATACTAAAAAGTCAAAGATTCTATTTTCTCTTTATTTTTTGCACATCTTTTCGTAAAAAACTAAAAAGTTATCCCAAACATACTAATTTTTTTTTATCTCATATTTTAGTCAAAAAACTAAAAAATTAAAAAATTATTAAAATAACATGTTCCCAAACGAGACCTAAATCCTTCTCCAAGTGCACTCATACCACCTAACAATATATAAAAGAGTTCCCACTAGGGGCAATAAAGCTAAAATGATTATTGTCTACTTTTATCTTCATAAATGGATTGAGCATTGTCCAGATGCTAGTTTGATCG